TAATCCCAGCACTTGGGAGGTAGAGGCAGGCGGATTTCTGAGTTCGAGGCCAGCCTGGTCTACAGAGTGAGTTCCAGGACAGCCAGGGCTACACAGAGAAACCCTATCTCGAAAAACAAAAACAAAAAAACAACAACAAAAAAAGGAAAACAGACAAAGAAACAAAAATGGAAACACTTTCATAGTTAATATTAGATCAAGGGCATCAGATGAATTGTTATCTCTGCCCCTGGGGTGTAGAGCACATGCATGGGGAACTCCTAAGCCTGCTTACATTTCAGAACATTCAGAAAAGTTAGAAGTTGCATAGTGATTGCCCATACACTTAAGACCTCTTGTCTCTGTTGGTAAGCTATTACCATTTGTTCCATCTTGTGTTGTCCTTTTCAAAAATGCATTTCAAATAAGTTGCCAACACCAGCCTACATCCCTCTGTGCCAGAAGTGGTATCACATTAACTTGGCTTCTCAGAGAATTTTCTGCTTGGGGGGATATGTATGTAGAGTGCATGTACAGGAATATATGGGTGCACACCCTTGTATGTGTGCATGCTAAGCCCTCAGCTGCACACCTAGTGTCTCCTCTTACTCTGTGCCATATATCTGGAGACAGTCTTTCAACAAACTAGAAGCTTGCTGTTTTATGCTAAGCTGGGTGACCCCCCTGTTTCTGCCCCCTAGTGCTGGAAATATAGACATGATACATGGATTCTTTTGTGGGTTCTGGTGTCTTGTATGAGGCTTTTCTTAAGGAGATTTGAACCAAAGTCTACTTACTCTAGATAAGGAACCAGTGACAGAACACACTAACAATGCCTCCAGAGTCCAAGCTAGTGAACCAATGACTGTTGGAGTTACTTACAGGAACATGGGTAACTTAAAGGCAGCTACATCACCAAAAAGCCTACCCCAGCCTTGGTGATGATTTGTAAAAGCTACACCCCTGGAGCTTTGTGTGACCTATAGGCAACTGGACAAGTCAGAGACTCTTCCTCCCCAGCAGTTTACTGCTTCTATAACCTTGTGAGAAGGACTTGGTAAATCTTGTTAGTTTGTTACCTAACTTTTTGAGTCTCATGGGCTTCTGTGCTGGTTTGAATAAGAATGGCCCCCCTGGGCTCATATGTTTGACTGCTTAGTCTCCAGGAGTGCAACTCTTTGATAGAATTAGAAGATCTTTGTTGGAGGAAATGTCATTGAGGATGGGCTTTGAGGTCAAAAGATGGAATTGCTATAAAACATGGGGATATGAACATAGGTACTCATACTTGCAGAATACGTGCTCTTATCCACAAAGTCAGACCTTGAGGCCCTCTCAGCGAAATTTTAATACCATGAAATAACACCTCTGTGAGAAAAAAATTCATATATTCTGTTTGGCTTCACCCATTTAAAAATATATCAAAGAAATCTCAAGAGATTCAACAAATTCTGTTTACTGATAGGTTAGAATGATGTTGTTTTCAGTTTCTTTCCTTTCTTCAGCTTCTGCAGTGGAACAAAGATGTGGGATTGATTCCTACAGACGAAGTTAAATAATCTGACATCAATAGTGCCAGGACCTCTACCTCCTGCCCTTGGAAGTCACAGGGTAGAAAGATGAAGAACCTAGTGTTTCCAAGACAGCTGTTCCATTTCTTTGTTTTGTTTTGTCTTGTTTTTTTTGAGACAGGGTTTCTCTGTGTAGTCCTGGCTGTCCTGGAACTCACTCTGTAGACCAGGCTGGCCTCGAACTCAGAAATCTGCCTGCCTCTGCCTCCCAAGTGCTGGGATTAAAGGCGTGCGCCACCACCGCCCGGCCCAGCTGTTCCATTTCTTCTCCCTTGACTTCTCCCTCTGTCCCTAGACCCAGCACTCCACCCTCTAAGCCTGTGGCCTTTGAAGAGTTTAAGAATGAACGAGGAAGTGAGATCAATCGCATCTTCAAAGAAAACAAATCCATCTTAAATGAACGGAAGAAAAGGGCCAGTGAGACAACCCAGCGCATCAATGCAATCAAGCAGGAGATTGATGTGACCAAAGAAGCACTGAATTTCCAGAAGTCACTACGGGAGAAGCAAGGTAGATGTGAAAGGAAAATGGCCAGGGCAATGCAGGGACTCAGAGTCACCATGCTGTAAGTGTAGCAGCCGGGGCACTAAAGGCCAAGATTGAGGGGGGCAATAGAGGGCTGTAGGGCCCAGACCTATGTCATTTCACTAGGCTCTAGGCAGCCCTTCCTGCCAGCTAGGCTTTGCCAATGTCACTACTTACTGCTGAGCCTTCCTCCTGATATGTGCTGTTGTCCATGGAGAAACTGGCCCTTGGCCTGAAGGAACCCCCCCACCCCCCCCACACACACATTGGAGGCTCAGTAGAGAAAGCTAGGCAGTTCATTTTATGACCTTGTAAAGGTGGGTACCACTGACAGAGATTTAAAAAAAAAAAGGCAGGGTATCCACAGGAATGCAAAGAAAGTTTTATTTTTTTATTTTTTTGTTTTGTTTTTTGAAACAGAGTTCTCTATAGACAAGGCTGGCCTTGAACTCAGAGATCTACTTGCCTCTGCCTCCTTAGTGATAGGATTAGAGGTGTGTGCCACCCCAAGTTCAAAGCCTTGTCCATCAGCCTAACACACTAGGTGACCTTCAGCATCCATAAGCCCTGTCTGGATAAAGAGGTCAGGACAAGGAGTCTGGGTAGTGTTAGAAGTCTGGAATGCAAGTGTTCATGGCCCAAAACTTGTGTATGTTCTCTACAAACACCAGGATTTGGCGGCGGCTGCCAGCTTCAGGCTGTCCTTAAAGCTGTCTCTGAACCCTAGAAAATCAATGTCTGTTTTCCATTTTGGCCTCCTAATAATCCATCCCTGAGGATCTACTTATTTATTTGACTCAAAGGAAAAAAAAAACCTCTTTAAAGGGTGACTATCTTTGGCTGCTGGGACAAGATCAAAATAGACGTGATAGTCTGTCTCTCTCTGTCCTCTCCTCTGCCCAGCATCCCTCCTATTTGTTCTAAAATGCCAGCCAGACCCCACTGAGCTGATCAGCCCCATCTACGGATATGCTGTGGAAGCTTAGCCTTCTTGTGTTTTGCCACTCCTTGTCACACCCACACATGCTTCCAGGCCCCTGCCACGTGGGATCTGCCAGCATTGTCATCGTTTTGGAATACCATCCTTCCCCTACCCTGACTATTGCCTCACTCTCTGACCTCTTCCATCACCCTGCAGGAGAGTATGAGAACAAAGGCCTGATGATCATTGATGAGGAAGAATTTCTGTTGATCCTGAAGCTTAAAGACCTGAAAAAGCAGTATCGAAATGAGTACCAGGAGCTTCGAGACCTCCGGGCTGAGATCCAGTACTGCCAGCGCCTGGTGGATCAGTGTCGCCATCGCCTGCTTATGGGTATTCCAGTTGGGAAGGTTGGCAGGCTCCTTGAGATCAAGAGAGGCCTGAGGTCAAGGCCAAGGGTCAGTTCTGGAAGTGCTCTCTAAGCTTCGTGCTGCAGAGCCAGGGATTGGTCAGAGGCTTCAGGTATGTGCTCTCTAGGCCTATTGTGGCAGGAGATAGCAGTGAGAACAGAGAAGCTCCTGGAGCAGAAAGTGAATGGAGTCGAGCCTGTAAGAACCTTTGCCTGCTTCCACACAGGCTCCCTCACCCCTCACAGTGCTGTCTCTCTGGCTCTTGCAGAATTTGACATCTGGTACAACGAGTCCTTTATCATCCCAGATGACGTTCAGGTAGCTCTGAAGCTAGGCAGCAGCATCCGGCCAGGCATGGTGCCTGTCAACAGGATTGTGTGTCTGGTGAGCAGCACAAGGGTACGAGGGTGTGGGTGAATCTGCCTCTTCCCTGGATTCATGTCTAGTGCTGCCAGTGCCCAGGTAGGGAGGCAGGTGTAAGTTCCTCCATTACTGAAAAGTGGAAAACAGAGCTAGAGAGGTGGCTCAGCAGTTAGGAAGACTTGCTGCTTGTCTAGAAGACCAGAGTTTGTTTCTCAGCACCCGTGTCAGGCAACTCACAACTATTTGTTAATTCATGTTCCAGTTCCAATGCCCTCTTCTGGCCTTTGTGGGCAACAGCACACATATGGCATACAGTCACACAGACATAAACACATACAAATCTTTTTAAAAAATTCTTACTTTAAGCCAGGTGGTGGTGGCGTACACCTTTAATCCCAGCACTTGGGAGGCAGAGGCAGGCGGATTTCTGAGTTCGAGGCCAGCCTGGTCTACAGAGTGAGTTCCAGGACAGCCAGGGCTACACAGAGAAACCCTGTCTCGAAAAAAAAAAAAAAAAGAATAAAATGGAGAATGATAAAGTACATGTAAACAAACGAACAAACAAAATCTTACCTTAGTTAGGGTTCCAAAAGCAAGGTTGGGGGGCAGAGAGTGTTCATTTCAGCTTACAAGCTTTAAGCTACATCATAAAAGGAAGTCAGAGCAGGAGCCTAAAGACAGAAACTGAGGCAGAAACCATGGAGGAATGCTTGCTCCTTTGCTGCCCATGGCTTCTCTCCTCCCACCCTTTTTTCTAAGTCAGGTAGTGGTGGCAGGCCTTTAATACCAGCACTTGGCAGGCAGATTTCTGAGTTCCAGGCCAGCCTGGTCTACAGAGTGAGTTCCAGAACCACCAGGACTATACAGAGAAACCCTGTCTTGAAAAACCAAAGAAAGAAAGAAAGAGAGAGAGAGAGAGAGAGAAAGAGAGAGAGAGAGAGAGAGAGAGAGAGAGAGAGAGAGAGAGAGAGACAGAGAGAGAGAGAGAGAGAGAGAGAGAAAGAAAGAAAGAAAGAAAGAAAGAAAGAAAGAAAGAAAGATGTGGATGAGCATTTTATTTGTATGTGTCATTCACTGCAGGTGTGCCTGGTGCTCACAGAGTTCAGAAGAAAGTGCTGATTTACATTTTTTTTTTGTTTTTGTTTTTTTGGTTTGGTTTTTCGAGACAGGGTTTCTCTGTGTAGCCCTGGCTGTCCTGGAACTCACTCTGTAGACCAGGCTAGCCTCGAACTCTCGAACTCAGAAATCCGCCTGCCTCTGCCTCCCAAGTGTTGGGATTAAAGGCGTGCAACACCACCGCCCAGCTCTGATTTACATTTGTAATTGGAGTTGTATGCAGTTATAAGACATTTTGTGAGTGGTGAGGGTTGAACCTGGGTCCTCTGGAAGAGCAGTCAGTACTCCTAACCAGTAAGCCATCTCTCCAGTCTCTTCAGTCTGTTTTCTTATAACAACCTAGGACTTCCTACCCAGGGATGGCATTGCCCACCATGGGCTGGGCCTTCCCACATCAATCATTAATCAAGGAAATGCCCCACAGAGTGCCTATAGGCCAGCCTGATAGAGGAAATTCCTTAATTGACGGTTTTTCTTCCCAGACGTGTCTAGGAATCAATTAGATAAACAAATATACAAACAAACAACAAAAAACCCAACCAGCACAAATCTTAAAGAGGGATATGTAAGGACCAAATAGATGGATCAGTGTTTAAGAGCACTGGATGCTTGTCCAGAGGCCTTGAATTTGATTCTCCACACCCACATGGTGTCTCACAGCTGTTTATAACTGTAGTCCCATGTATTCCAATGTAGACACAGCACCCATATACATAAATAAATAAATCTCTTTTTTTTGAGAGAGAGAAATAGAGACAGAGAGACAGCAAGACAAGAGACAGAGGAATCCATTTTATCACCGTCAACTTTCTGAAGTGCCCAGGTGGCCCTTACAGAGGAATCTGGAAGGACACTGGCAGACATGGGTGCTATAGATGCTCAGGGTGCATTTGGAGACCAGCAGGGGACTGTCCTGATGCTAAGCATAGGCCTGCCAGGGTTTACCCTGACAGTGCCCGGGCTGAGATGCTATGCAGGGTTGGGCCTCTCCCAGGGAGAAGATGACCAGGACAGGTTCAGCCTGCTGCAGCAGAGTGTCCTGCCTGAGGGTCCTGATTCCATCTCCTTCTACAATGCCAGAGTCAAGACAGAACAGAAGGTAACTTGGGACATTCATGTCTGTGAGGGTGGAGGCTCCAAAGACTGTTATTAGGATATTCAGAATCACCAACCTCATTAGATAGCCACAGGGTGTTTCTGAGTGTGTGCTGGGGATTCGTGTGATGGTACCAGCCCAGGGAGATTGAGTAATCAGTAGGTGTCTTCTGCCAGCTCCAGACTGGAACAAGTCTGGACTTTGGAAGTGGGGGAAGGAAGATCACATAGATCATGGCCAGGTCTGGACATGGTTTGTAAATGCTAACCTACCTATAACCATGTACGGTGGCTCACAGCCCATGAGAGTCTAAGAATGACATTCTCTGAAACCACAGCCTCTGGAGAAGGAGCTGGCCAGGGGGCTATCCTGAACAGATGGCAGATGTCAGGGGACAGAGGATCCCATGTAGCCAAAGTGGAACTAGACATGGTGTCAGCCACAGAGAACCTATGACTCCCCAGTCTTCACTCTGCCAAGGCCCTGCATACTGGGTAGTACCCTGTGCTCAGGTGGCCTTTGTTATTGTTTTGTTTGTTTGAGACAAGCATCATGTATCCCAGGCTGGGCTCAAACTTGCTAGGTAGCCAAGGGGAACCTGGGACTGATCTGCTTGCATCCACACTCCACATGCTGAGATTGCAGGCTGGGGTTACTGTACTCAGTACTAGTGCCTGTTTTTAAAGTTTTTTTCATTGTGAGACTGATTTATAACATGTATGTGTGTGTTTACATACTTACATTTTTAAAAACTGTTATTTTATGTGTATTGGTGTTTTGCCTGCATGTATATCTGTGCAGCATTTGCATGTTTGGTGCCTGCGGGGGAGGGGGAGGGGGGGCGGGGGCCAGAAAGGGTGGAGGATTCCCTAGGATCCCTCCAGAACTGGAGATGATAGGAATTGAACCTAAGTCCTTTGGAAGAGCAGCCAGTGCTCTCAACCATTGAGCTATCTCTCCAGTGAGCTATCTTTCCAGTCCCAAATATATTTTTTTTAAATCACAAGCTCCTATTTGATTGGACTTAAGGACTGCAAAATATATGAATTGAAATTTCTTCCTGAAAGGACATAGATTTGTTTTTGGAGCAGGGTGGGAAGGGTGTTGTTTTGATTTCTTAAGACATGGTCTCCTCTCCTTTGATCTCTATGACTTTGAGGCCAGTCTGATCTACACAATGAGTTCCATGAAAGAGCTGCATAGTGAGGCCCTTTAATCCCAGCACTTGGGCAGAGACTGGTAGTTCCCTGAGTTTGAGACCAGCCTGGTCTACAGAGTGAATTTCAGGATTGCCAGGGCTACACAGAGAAACTTTCTCTCAAAACAAAACAAAACAAAACAAACAAGACACTAACTCATTAGCTTAGGCTGGCCTCAAATTCACTATGCAGCTAAAGATGACCTTGAACTCCTAAAGCTCTTGTGTTTGTGGAGTGCTGAGATTACAGCTTTCAGCAGCACATCTGGGTATTTGTTTGTTTTTCTTTGAAACAAAGTGTCATGTGGTTCAGGCTTGCCTTGAACTTGCTGTGTTGCAGAGTGGCCTTGAACTCCTGTTCCTCCTGCTCCTACCTCTTAAGTGTTGGAATTTCCAGGTTTTCCCCACTATACTGCCAGCATTTGCTTTTTGCAGTTACCCATAGAATATTACCAACCTAGGACCATTTTACACCCTTCAAGAATTCCATGAATGCTGGAGACGTAGCTCAGAAATAGAGCATTTTTTTTTTGTAAGGCCTGTATAAGGCCCTGAGTTCAACAAAAGGAGGAAAGGTTCCATCTTGAGCCTGGTGTATGTCGAATCCTATAATCTAAACACTTTAGGGGGGTCTAAGGAAAAAGTATCTTGAGTTCAAGGCTCTCTTGGGCTATATAAATTGAGACACTATCCCAAGAAAGAAAATTCCAGTTTAGTGTTGACATTGCATGTACAGCTTCTTACCTTGGGGACTCTAGAATTCCTTTTCATCTTCTAAACTAGCTTTAACATTTGCTCCCTTCCTGCCCCCTGCTTTAGTGACAGCCTTTCCTACTGGCTTTTAGGGATCCTAGCAGTGTATTAAAAAAATAAAATTTAATTAACAAAAGAAAGGGTAGAATTTGTGAATACTACAGCTAGGGGTGGGGGAGGTGTCGGGATGTAACAGTAATTAGGCCCTGACCTCTAGAGGAAGAGCCCCTTCCTATTAGTTTCCTATTGCTATGACAAATACCTGGGAGTCACAGCCTAAAAGTAGGAAGGATTAAGCCAATCCGGTGGCACATGCCTCTTGAGTGCTGGAAGCAGGAGAATCAGGAGTCCAAAGTCATCCTTATTTGCATAAGAGGTTCAAGGCAGGCTGGGGCTTCATGGAGACCCTCTCTAGAAACAGAAATAGAAACAAAGATGAAAGATTTATTTTGTCTAGTAAACTGGTTCCATTGTTATAGGCCTATGGTAAATCAGATCAGCGTGGCATCAGAAGAGCATGGTGGAGAGCTGCTTGTATCATCAACGTGCTCAAGCAGAAAAGGACAGGGGTGGATCAATGATATGATAGACCTTTCAGGCCATAACCCCAGTGACCTACATCCTCCAACCTGCTCCTACCTCTTGTGTCCCACCACCTTCCAATAATGCTATCAAGTTATGAATCCACTGGTAGATAAATCTGTTGATTAGCCTCTCACTTTCCTATTACCTTTCAATGATCAGATCTACTCATGGAGACTAAGCTTGCAAACACAGGAACCTATATGCTTTAAGGTATATAGTATATAAAGTACTTCATATCCAAACTATTGTTGGGGTATATTGTGTGAAGGTTGTCTTTGTATTATTCAATTGTTAATTCTGTAACTGCAAAGCCGAACTTTGGTATTGTTATTCTTAAGATGAGGCAAGTGAGGCTCATCACTTGCCTCAGTATTTTGTAAACATACACCTTCCTCACTTACTTATTGGTTTAATAAAGATCTGATGGCCAATAGCTGGGCAGGAAAGGGAAGTCAGGACTTCTGGACTGAGAGAGGGTCTCTGGTAAAAGAATCACGAACAGTTGGGTTAATTAAGTTAGACAAGCTAGCTGGGAGGTAGCCCAAGCTGTAATAAAATTAATAAGTCTCTGTGTCATTATTCGTCCACTGGTGTGTCCAAGAAAGTTCAGCAATAAACTATAACATCTTTTCTCTTTTGAATCCATTCCCTGTCAGGCCACTGAAGCATGCATGCCTACTTTTTGTTTGTTTTGAGACAGGGTCTCACTATGTAGCTCCAGCTGTCTTGGAACTCACTAGGTAGCAGGTGGAGCTTACAGCCACTCACCTGCCTCTGCTTCCTGGCTGCTGGGATTAAAGGCGCATGCCACTATGCCCAGTACATGTCTCCTTTTAAACATAACTGCCAGGGTATTTCAAACGTTTTACACAGTTTCCTTAGACTGAAAGAATGAAAGCGTTTGAATGGAATGTTACTTTTCATAGCAGTTGCACTGTGCAGAGAGTGCTTTGTCTCCAGACTGTGATGTTTGCAGGAGCAATGATGAAGTGCACGTGACATGGCTTGTGAGTCCTTGCTAAGACCACACCTCCTCATCAATTTCCCTTCTCTTCATCTTTTTTTTCTAGCACAATTATATGAAAACCATGGTGGGCCTCCAACAGTCACACAGAAAATAGTCTCATCAGTAGCTTGAAGACCAGCAGCTCTAGTCTGTTCTAAGGAAGCTGCTAAACCACATGCCCAGAGTTCCAGCCACTCAGCTGCAAGCTGGGACCAAACCCAGAGAACACACAATTGCCTGCCTGCTAGGATGAACATCCTCCAAAGGACACCCTTGCTCCTCTTCACAGAATATTTTTGATTTTAATTTACTTTCATATGTAAACGCAAGATAAAATTACTTTTTATTTCCTGTCTGAAAGGACATCTTCCTTATGTACAGGTTGTGGCTAAAACCCAGTCCTAGTGTTTGCCTAGCAAGCATGACACCTGGGATTTGATCCCTAGTAAAATACAGACACACAGACAGACACACACATACACAACACACATACACAAACACGTACGAATGTATATGCGCATGTAGGGATAGGAGGAGGCTTGGGAGTGTTGCTCAGTGGTAGAATACTTGTCTAGCATTCATGAAGCTCTTCCATCTCCAACACCTCCAAAAAGGAAAATAGCTAATATTGTAACTAGGCCTGTAATCCCAGCACTTGGGTGGTGGTGATGGGAAGAATTGGAGTTCAGAGTTACCCTCAGCTACATATCCAGTTCAAGGTCAGTCTGGACTGTAGGAAACCCTACCTCAAACTAATTTTATTGCGTAGGAAATCAAAACAGCAATCCAGGCTCATCCTGATAAGTGTTTCCTTCTGGTAGGTCTGTCCTCTCTTCTGTGGGCATCCTAAGATGAGCTTACTTGGAATACTTCTTCCAGTTCTCTTAGTTCACACACTCTGCTCCTGGTCTCTGAACACAGGAGGAAGTCCTTCTTTCTTGGCAACTAGAAGAGTATCAGATCTAGTTAGTGACCTATAAAAGGCCGAACTGGGTCCCTGTGCCCAGGAGTGCATGACCTTAGATAGCACAGCCTTTCTGGCCAAGCACACATGTGCAATAGGTGTTGCAGCTTTTCTGTGTCTTGGTCCCTCCTTTTTCCTTCTTAGTGTGTGACTGAAGATAAACTCAAGTGAAAGTGACAGGAAAAGGGATCACACCAGCAGGGCTGAGCAGGAAAGAGGAAGCATTACTCCTGAGTTCTGTGTTCTTAGTGATGGTAGCACAGCGAAAGAGCTTGCTGCTTTGTTAAAGACAAACACTGGCCCTCTGGGGGCTCCCCAGCTGACCATTGCAGTCTCTGCTGATGTTGTGGGCCAAGGCTTTGACTGTGAACATGGTATGACAGTGGTCCTCAATCTGATACTCTTGACTGCCCAGGATGATAGAGGTCCCACAGTGGAATTCCCTGGAAGCCTGTCAAGGGAAGCAGTGAGTGAAAATACTCCAGATCACACCTCAGAGGTTAACTTGTATCCGAGGACGTATAGCCCTAGGATTACTTTAAATGAGGAAAGATCTAAGGAGCTGGGACCAAGGACATGGCAAAGTGGCTAAGAGTACTTGTTCTGCACTCATGAGGCTCTAAGTCTGAATTCTCTGTACATGTATAAAAACCACGGCTGCACGAGTGCTAACCCCAGCAGGTCTGGAGAGCTTGCTGGCCATCCAATATATCCTAAACAGTGGGCTTCCTGTTCAGTGAAATACCCTGTCTCACAGTAGTAAGACAGAAAACAATCGTGGGAGACAACTGATGTCCTGCTCTAACCTGGTGCCTATACCCACACACTTGCATGCATGCACCACATGTAGACTCACCCCCCAAACCAATCCCTCTCATTTCTGCTCCTACCCCAGGGTCTCATTATTTAAGTCAGGCTAGTCTAGAACTCACAGTGATCCTTTTGCCTCAGCCTGGCCAAGTGTTTGTATTGGAGGCATGTACCACCACACTTACATCAAGGAGATATTTTCTTCCTAAGAGGAAGAGCCATGTGACAGTGTCTCAGGTATGGTTTCCAGGTGGAATAGAACGGGGGATTTGGTGTGTATGGTCCCCTTATCAGGAGTGCCTATTGCATACTCATGGGGACCTGATCCCCCTCCATGTACCCAGGTAAAATCAAGGTATAGTGGCATGTGGCTATAAAGCTAGCCCTGAAGTCAGGGGGCAACAAAGTAGGGGTGTGGACATAGGTAGATCCTCAGAGCTCACAAAGAAAAACTTGTTATAAAAATGGGGGAGAGAAAGATTGGTAAATAAGGGTATAAAGCCAAAAAATTATCACAGATAATATATAATTTTGTGGTTAATAGATATAAATATAGAACTAACATCTTGTACAACAAAGGCATAAAATTTGAAAGCAGAGGGGTGAGAAACTGAAATTTGCCAAGGTAATTTTGTATTGTTTGCGGAAGAAGAAAAATACTTCATCCTTTTATATATACAGTGCTTTTCCACTAGGAAAAGGATTGACTCTTCAGGATGAAGGTGTTTGTGTGAATGTATGGAGAGGGATATTATTTCCTAAATGTCATACTGAGCCTAGGGTCTTGTTGCTAATGCCATTATTGCCTGCCTTCGGTCAAGGAAAGGAAATGCACAAAGTTACTGGACTGAAAACTTACAATTTTCTTGTCCTTTCAAACTTGAGCATTTCTCCCTCCCTTCCAGTTTTTTGAGACAGGTTGTCGTCAGGCTGGCATTATATTCTTCCTCCTCCTGGCTCTGGAGTGCTGAAGTTACAAGTGTGCCATGCTGTGCTTCACAAAGTCAGCATCTGCTGAGGAGTTCAGACAGTGCTCTCACAATCCTCACTAGGGGAAAGGATTAGGTAGAGAGGTAGGAAATGAGTGTTGGATAGGAAGTAGCTTTCCACTCAGTTGCAACTGTGGACTCAAGGGGGAATGACCTTTTGTCTTTCCTGACCCTTAGTCAGGTTCCCATTTGAATCAGAACTCTGGCCTGGACACACAGAAAAAAAAAAAAAAAAACTTGTCATTTTGGGAAATAAGGTACCACCCAGTGATATCCTAAAACACATCCAGTTGCTTATGGGTTGTATCACTCAATCTACTATATATTCATCTGTATATTAGTCAACATATTAGCTCAAAGTCTTTATATTGGCTGTGGGTATAGTTCAGTGGTAGGGACTACTTGCTTAGTGTTCTAGTTCATTCTTTTTCTGTGATAAAACACTTGGGCCAAAAGCAACTTAGGGGAGAAAATGGCTTACACTTCCAGGGCACAATCCATCATTTAGGAATATCAGGCCAGGCAGTGGTGGTGCGAGCCTTTAATCCCAGCACTTGGGAAGCAGAGGCAGGCGGATTTCTGAGTTCGAGGCCAGCCTGGTCAACGGAGTGAGTTCCAGGACAGCCAAGGCTATTCAGAGAAACCCTGTCTAGGAAAAAAAAATCGGAGTAGAAATTTTGCTAGTTTTCTTATACAGCCTTGGACCAGCTACTTAGGTAGGTGCTGCCCACAGTGGGCTAGGCCATCCTCCATCAAGATACCTTCTCCACAGAAACGCCACAGACCAGTCTGATGTAGGCAATTCCTTAACTGATGGTTTCCTCTGAGGTGACTCTAGGCTGTTTATGTCAAGCTGACAAAGCTAACCAGGATGCCTAACATACACAAGGCACTGGGTTCAATTTGCAGCACCGGGAGGGACAAAATTTACAAATAGTTTTGGATAAAGTCAGAGGATCAACTGGTGTCCCACTGTCCTAGATACATTCCCCATCTCTTTACCCAGTCATAGAATTTACCTGTGGCAATGTTCATGCTTTGTCATGAGACACAAAAGTTAACCCGGGGTCTGCTGGAATGGACGTGGTCTGGACCCATAGGAGATGCTGCTGGAAGTGATTCTCCACGTTTTCGTTTTACTGATCAATACTCGGAAGAGTGGGGAAAGGTTTCATGTGAATTTTTTCTTTAAACACATTTGGAGGGCTTTTTGTATAAAGGCATGGAATAGTAGGGTGTGGTGGTTTTAAATAGGCTTGGCTTCCATAGATTCCTGTGTTTGAAAGTTTGGCCCATAGGTAGTAGCACTATTGGGAGGAGGTGTGGCCTCCTTAGAGGAAGTGCATCATTGTGGGGGTGGGCTCTGAGGTTCCCTATGCTTAGACTCCGCCCAGGGCGGAAGAATGTCTTCTGGCTGCCGTCGGATCAAGCTGTACAACTCTTTCAACTCCAGCAAAGTGTCTACGTGCATGCGGCCATGCTTCCTGCCATGATAATGGACTGAACCTCTGAAACTGTAAGCCAATTCCAATTAAATGCTTTCCTCATAAGAGTTGCCTTGGTTATGATGTCTCTTCACAGCAACGGAAACCCTAAGACGTGGCATGGCGGCACATGTCTTTAATCCTAGCACTCAGGAGACAGAGGTAGGTGTAAGGCCTGCCTGGTCTGCACAGTGAGTTAGTTCTAGGCCAGCAAGGGCTACACAGTGAGGTACTGTCTTTTTTTTTTTTCTTTTTTTTTTAAATGTCTGGGAATGTATTCAATAAGCTAAAAAGTATCTATTACTTTGATTAGGGGGCCTATCACAATAAGTGTGGAGTATGATGTTGGAGGATAGGGAATTTTAAGGCAAGTCTGAGCTAAAAGGTTTTTTGCTTTTTTGTTTTTTGTTTTTTCCAGACTTGGGTTCCTTGACTGTCCTGGAACTCTCTTTAGATCAGGCTTAAGTGTGGAGATTAAAGGTATGAACCACCATGCCTTATAACATGCATTTTCTTTGTCTTGAATTCAAGCTGGGTGTGGTGGTACATAATCCTAGTACTTGGGATACAGCAAACCAGATTCCAGAGAATCCTCAACACAGTCTGAAAGGTGCTGCCTGTAAAAATTTGAATCAGAGCCGGGCGGTGGTGGCGCACGCCTTTAATCCCAGAACTTGGGAGGCAGAGGCAGGCAGATTTCTGAGTTCGAGGCCAGCCCAGTCTACAGAGTTAGTTCCAGGACAGCCAGGACTACACAGAGAAACCCTGTCTCAAACCAAAAAGAACCCCCCCCCCAAAAAAAAAAAAGATGGGCCTCAGAATTTCCACTGACCTCCATGGTTTAATATGCTTACTCTATTGGGTTCTGACCAGACTGAAGTACCATTCATCTGTCTCCTGCTAGAGAGCTGTTTATTAATGAAATAGGGAAACTCATACACTTCATCTTAGGTTCCTCTCAACTTAGTTTCCATGTAAAGCCCTTTCTTAATGTCAAGTGGCTGCCAATGGCTTCTGTGGCATTTAAGGCAAAGAGCTCTAATATATTCAAAGTCTAGCTGGACATGGCGGCACACTAGAGACAGAGGAAGAGGACTTGAAGCTCTAGGCAAACCTGGGCTACATATTGAAATATCTCAAAAAAAAAATCGGTAAAGGTAACATTGTTTAAAAGGCATTGTACAAACATGTTCACAACATTATGTGGTAAATACACGATTTTGATAGGCAAGGCAGTAGAAACCCAAGAAACAGCATGCCCAGTGTTAGGACTAGAAATTGGCTGGTATCGGTTTAAGTAGTGCCAGATAGAATTTATCCTGATAGAACTTTTCCATTGGATTGTAATAACCTAAAATGTGTTGGCATCTGTTGAAGTTTAGGGTTTTATGGACTGGGATGTTTCTCAGTAGGTGGAGTACTTGTATTTAGGAAGCCTTGAGTTCACTCTCCAGCATAAACTAGCTATGGTAACATATCTCTGTAATCTCAGTACTTTGTGGTAGTTGCAGGAGAACGAGATATGTTCAAGGTCAGTCGGCAACATACTGAGGTCAAGGCAGATGCGATACACAAAACCCTCTCAGAAACTTTTATACAAAAAAAGAGGTAAAAAGAGGAAGTTCAGTGTTTCACAAGTACCTCATTTTATCCTCACAGCAGTGAGAATCTGTTCACAATAAAACTTTCATCTTCAGCAGGTTGGGGTGTCTGGCACCTGTAATCCAGGCATCAGGAAGGCTGGGTGGGGTAAGAAGGATTTTGAGTTTGAGGTCAGTACAGCATATAGCAAGTTTCAGCCACAAAGGAAAGCTCACCAACAAAAGCAAAACAAAATGGCCGTGGGAGACTGAAACCTAGAGCGTTTTTTTTTTTTTTTTTTTTTTTTTTTGGTGGACCTTGAACTTCCACGATATGCCTAAAAGTTACCAGGAAAAAAAAAACCACCCAGATTAACCTCTAAACGAAATAAGAGATACTGCTAGCCTACATACATACACGTGGAAAAAATAAGCCTGTAAGATGGCTCAGTCAGTAAAGGCACTTGCTGCCTAGCTTTACGATGTAATTTACAGGACCCACATAGGAGACAAAATGGACTCACTGTTATCCTCTGATACACAAATGCCATTCCTATAAAAACAATTTAAAAAATACATTTTAGGCTGGGCAATCATGCCTTTAACCCCAGCACATGGGAGACAGGCAGATGGAGCTCTGTGAGTTTGAGGCTACAGACAAACCCTATCTTGAAAAACAAAACAAAAAAGCTAGAATCCCAGCACTCAAGAAGTTGTAGGCAGGGTGAAGCATTCAAGTGTTCAGGGTAAGTCTAGTGGAAGATTCTGTTAGATCACATTTCAATTTATTGGTAAATCCAATTTAAGAATTAGTGGCTAATCTCCCCCCCCCAAAAAAAAATTTCCACAAAAGATCTGAACTCTGATCTGCCACTTTCATGATAAACAACTGCTATAAATTCAGCTTGGTGTAAATTAGCTAATAGTTTCACGCAATCATGCTAATCAAGAAACAAAAAGGTTGTAGTTTAAATTGTCTAACTTTTTTTCAAATAGTTTCACGAAATCCTGCTAATCCAAAAACAAGTTTGTAGTTTTGTTATCTTTTTTTTTTTTCTTGCAAGAAAGTAATTAATAACTTTCCTCAGGGCATTTCCCCCGAGGTCTTAAGAACAAACATAGCCTCTCAGACTTTTGGGGTGAGGGCAGAATACCGCGGTGAGGAAGGTAGGAGGTTTCTGTGGGGACACGGTGGTGGGGGCTGCGGGAGGCTGGAGGGCGTGTCCGGGAAGCCAGGTCTGAGAAGCATCCCCTGCTTAGCTTGGTTTTCGGTGCGCGCCGAGAGCCAGCTGAAGGGTCAAGAGAGAAGAAATAAAGGGGCAAGCGGGGTAGAGTGGCAGCTGCGCTACCTCACAGCCTGGATGCCAGGCTCTCCGAGGGCTTCGAAGGATGAAGGCCAGTGTCCTGAGGGCCTCGGGCTGTTCCCCGGACGTCGCCCAGGGAGGGGCAGCGGTGGCGCCCCTCCAGCTTCGGGACCCGCCTACAACACTCGGCCCTGGGACTTATTGTTCCGGGAAGCCGCAGGCTAGGCCCGGCCTGGCCCTCGGGTTGCACCCCGCCCCGCCAGGGTCGGCGGGCTGGGGCTGGCGCTGGTGCGCCGACTGGCGGCCGGTGGGCTGCCTGTGCGTGTCTCTTTAAGGGGCTGGGCCTGCAAGGCTGCAGGGCGGGCGGGGTGCGCGTTGCTTCGGGAGTGAGTGTGTGAGGGTGAGAGCGGCGGGCGGTTGCCGGAGGGAGGGAGTGAGCGGGCGAGCCAGCCAGCCAGCGACGCGGGCTGTCCCTGCCGCCGCCGCGATCGGACCAGCGGCCTCCTCCCCTCCGGTCCCCTCCCCCGCATCGGCCTGCCGCGGGGAGGGGGCTAGCGTCGCCGCCTCCAGCTGCTCCTCATGAAGCAGCTGCCGTCGCAGCCGCCACCGAAGATGGGGGATTTCTACGATCCCGAGCACCCGACCCCTGAGTAAGTCTCAGGTCCGCGGCCTCCCGCTGCCGTTGGTCGCTTCAGCCGAGGGCGGCGCGCCCTGACCGGTGGCGGCGCGCGGAGTAACGGGCCCTGGGCGTCTTCGCGCGGTCGAGGTGGGGGGCAGGCCGGGCGCAGCTACTTCAGGCCGCCTCGCTTGGCCTCGGCTGGCCGGGCGGTTGGGCCTGGCGCGGAGACGGCTGCTCGCGTCGCCGCGGCAGTTGGGGCGGCCCGGTGGGGGAGGGGCGGCCACGGCCTCCTCTGCTATTGCCGCGTCCTCAGTCGGCCTGCTTAGGTTCGGCGCTCCGCGCAGCTCTTCCAGGACACTGCGGCGTCCCGAGCTTCTGTTGCAAACCACGGTGCATAGTCCAAGGCGCCGCTAAGGCCAACGCGGGCGAGAGGGCGCCGGCTAGTACAGGCCGAGAATCCCCGGGCTCGGGTGGAAGCTCGGTCGGTCGCCCGGCCTATCGTTGACGGCAACTCGGACCGGAAGGGCCTACCGCGCGTCTCCCCGCTACGATCCGTGGAGGAGACCCCCGTTGCATTCTTGGTTTTGATTTTTGTTTGTTTTCCTTCTTGGGCACTCGAATCTGGCCCAGTAGAGCTATGAGCTGCATATTCTGCACCTTTGGCGCTTGGGTTTTGTAATGGTGGCAAGGTTTGTCTGGTCCTGTTGTTGAGGTGACAACAGTTTTGTTTTTTAACCTGAAAGTGAAAACCTGACAAACATTTCTCGATTATGAGGCTTGAACACTTTGGCGTACTATTTCTTAGGTAATAGAATCTAGAATCTTAATCTACAAGGGTGACTTTACTGCGTGTGAAGATTTAGTTAAGAGACCCAAAAATCTTTGTATATTCTTCTCTAAAGAAGATAGTATACTTGTAAAGCGAAATATAGTTTTGTCCTATAGTTTATTTTCAGTATATATAGGGCATTTTTATATTTCTGTTGGGCGGTATCTGATAGCACATCAAGTTTTCATACCAGTCGGATCTGGTGGTGTACACCTGAAATAGCTCCTGAATTAGGATTGCCTTGTCTGCCTCTAAACGACAACAAAAGTAAAAAGAAAGCTTCCACGTCAGACTCAGGAGTCAGTGCTTTCCCTAAGCCCTCACAAGATTGTTTTGTTGTTTTTTAGATAAATGGTTTCACCCTGTTGCCCAGGCTGCTCTTGAATTTCCTGTGTAGCCCAGGCTGGCCTGGAACCTGGGATCATCCTCCTTCAGCTTCCTGAATGCTGGGATTACAGGTGCTGACAACTAAGAAAAAACATTGTTTTACCTCTGTTTGCCTGTATTGATGTCGTCTGCGCATAGGGGCAACAACGTTTATTTCCAAGGGATGGCTAGTGAAAACTGTTAAACTTTTATGACTAAATTACGGCACGTTACACATTTTTTGGGAACCGTTGCCAAATTTTTTCACCTTGGTTCAGAAATGTTTGGATCTTATTTGATAGTTATTCAGTATTGTAACACAAAAGTTATTTTGTTGGAGTGTTACCTCCACACAAAAAGCAAAATCCTCATGTTGCCTTAAAAAATAAAATTTTATTGGGGCAATTTTGACAATCTAATGTACAGCCTAAGTAGTTTTATAGTTTTATACTTGTTTTCTTTTAAGTTTACAGAAGCCCTTTAGTGGTCCTGTGGCATTTTAGTTTTGTCTTTACTTGGCAGATCTTGACCACGTCTACGAACAGTCTTTATGTGCTCTTAAAATCCATCTCCTACTTGCAATAGTAAACCAGCATGGCTTTATCTTTACCTGGGTTCTTGGCTTTGGAATAACACTTAAAGGTTTTTGCTTTGAGACTTGAAAGACCTCAAAAGGAATTTGTATCATTTAATAAATGTTTGCATGCTTATCTTGTACAAAGTAGCATGCTAGCCCCCAGGAAGGGCAAAGAGCCTTGCAGTGACTTTCCAGGTTGCACAGTGAAGTCTCAAAGTTGTAAGGATTTATCCTTTTTTTTTTTTTTTAATTGGAGGAAAACATTTTTCATAATATGTGAAAAAATGGAGTCAGAAGTATATCTTTACTGTGTAAGTGAAGGAGAATGCTTATTTTTTCCCTAGTTTTGTGTTTTACTGTCTTTCTGGCTTTACTGCTTTGGAGTTTTTAATACTGTCAAATAAGTTCTGATACAAGTGCAGTTTTTCCTGTTTATTAACTTGTATAGGTTATAGAGTGTTTTCTTAATACTGGCCTAAAGGTGTTGGCAGGCAACTTGAACAGTATCACCTGTTTTACATGGGAAGGAAATGAGGCCTGGCCAAGGAAAGAAGAGTGAAGCGATAGCAGACCCTGTGAGGAAGTCAGACAGACCTGCACATGAACTCTAACGTAACTGATCGAGTGACTTTATCTTTGAATTTGGGTTTTCTCATTTTGGAAATAGTTATCCTAATAATATCCTAATACTAACTTGATGGGTCTTTGGAGAAGATTGAATGAGATAATACATGAACCGCTCTTGGCACAGTGTGTGGTGTAAGTACCTTTAGCTGTTACTAGGGAAATTTGAGAGATGTGACTGAAGTTGGGGGAAAACTGGTTGTGAAGAGGCAAGTCATTCCCTTTCAGACTTGGGTTAGTTTCACATGATTCTTTGAAAAAGAGAACTTGCGGTGAAATGTATATTTGCTTTGATTGGAGCTGGAGTTGGGGCAGAGATGGTCTGTATTGTCTGCCCTTCACTCTTTAATTGGTTGCATGTGTGTAGGCCTTGGATCTTCTTACAGTATAAATTACATTGTGTTCAGGTGAAGTGGCTATAATCATTTGAGTAACTGCATTAAGTGTTCATTTAGTGCAGGGCTAGAGATTGAGGGCATAACACAACCAATCAGAGTCTTCAAGGACCTGTCATATTGAAGGAGACAAACATGATAAAGTGTTATTTGTTGTTTTAAACATAGGCCTGTCTTTACTAAAGGTTGATACTGTAGGAGTAATTGATGTACACAAGAGAAATTTGTCTTTGTGCAGTTTACATTCTCATGAGGTCTGTAAGCAATAAGTTATACAGAATGGCCAAAGGTAAAATGCTTTGGAAAATTCTATAGGATATAGGTGATTTGCTGTTAAGTCACAGTATAAAATGGGGTAAGCTGGTAAGCGTCCTTGGGAGAGTAAGTTGAGCTATGAAGTATCTGTGTATATATTGTGTGGAGAGTTGAGGGAGTGGCAGGCAGTAACCACTGTAGTTCAAGTCAAGGTGGTAGTTGTACTGAGGCAGTAGTGTAAGCTGCTCAGGGTGGCCAGTATGGTGTGAGAAAGTGATAGTTGAGTCACAGGAGGAGGGGTGCAGAGTTTCATAAAGGTTTGTAGAGCCATTCTAAAGATGTGGTTGGGATTTTTTGTTTGATTTGATTTGATTTTTTTTTTTTTTTGAGAAGAACCCAGGCTGGAATTCGTGGGCTCAAATGATCTTCCTGCTTCAGCTTCCTGAGTAGCTAGGACGGCATGTGTACTCCACTGTGAGTTTTACTCAGAGGAATGATACAATTTGCTTTCATCCTCAGAAGGATCATTTGTAGGATCACAGGGAGGAACAGAGTGGAAGCCTGAAGACTTGTAAAAAAGCTAATAATCCAGAAGAGAGTGGCTGGCGGCTTACACCAAGATGGTGGCGGAAATAGATGGGTGCTTGTGTGTGCTGAGGATTAAACTGACATGATTTACTGACAGGTTTGGCATGTGAGAGAAACTAAGGATGAGTCTAAGGTTTTGGCAGTTAGAAATCTGTCATCCACTGAGCTAGGGATGATGTAGAAAGAGCAAGTTGGAAGTAGTAGTACTTTTTTAGGCATAGTAAGTAAGTTGGAGATGATTGTTAGACATTTAGGTTGGATTGTTATGTAAGTCTAAACTGGAGATAATTTTGTAGTCATCTATTTAGTTAGTATACTAAGCCAGCAGACTGGATGTTATTACTAAGACATTCATTATAGACCAAAAATTCATCATGGTTTATAGTTTAGATAAAATCTTAGTATGTAGTCAAGGCTAGTGTGGACTCTATGGTTCTCTTCGCCTCCTAAGTGCTGAGAATGTAGGTATGCCGCCATACCTGGCAAGGAATACTCTTTTGAAGCTCCACGTTAAGTTTTAATTATGTAAACCTCTTTTGTTGTTTGCTTTTGAGACAGGATCTCACTGGCATCTCCTGGTGACCTTCAACTTCTGCCTTGGCCTTCTAAGGGCTAGGATTGCAAGTGCATACCACAAATAGGTTTGATGGTATAGACCATAGACTTGATTAGTAGTCTGAAACAGAAGGATCAAATAAATATTCAAGGCATGGTTGGGTTACTGAGTTCATTCAAGGCCAGCTTTAACATCTTAGACCCTGTCTTAAATAATAATAATGATGGTGATAGAGATCAGTGGTTAAAAATTTGCACAGTGTACATGAGGCCCTAGAGTCAAACCCCAGTACTAGAGGGAAAAATGTCACCACTATGTACAACATGAAATTTCTTTTCTTTTTTTTCTTTTTTCTTTCTTTTTATTTTTTTGAGAAAGGGTATATTTCACTATATAGCCTTGGCTGTCCTGGAGTGTGCTGTGTAGACCAGTCGGGGGTCTAAATAACAACAGAGATCTACGCGCTTCTGCCCGCTTCCTGCTGAGATTAAAGGCCGCTATACCCGGCAGTTATTTATTTTTATTCTTATCTCTGTCTTAGACAGGGTCTCTTTACAAAGTCCTGGCTGCCCTGGAACTCAACTCTGTAGACCAGGATGGCCTCGTATTCACAGAGATCTGATCTGACTGTTTCTGCCTCCTCAGTGCTGGAATTAAAGGTGTTTGCCACCATACCTGGCTGATTTATTCTTTTTTTTTTTTTTTTTTTTTGGTTTTTCGAGACAGGGTTTCTCTGTGTAGCCCTGGCTGTCCTGGAACTCATTCTGTAGACCAGGCTGGCCTGGAACTCAGAAATCCACCTGCCTCTGCCTCCCAAGTGCTGGGATTAAAGGCGTGCACC